TCGAAGATTAGAACACTTGGCTGGGGAAGGAAGGCGTTCCGCGAAAAAATAAGCGAGTACGTTTTCCTCAGAACTCTTAAACAGGTAAAAATGCTTTTCTCTATTCATAATGGGCTCTTCATCAAAAACAAATTCTACTTCTTTGGTCTACCGCATTTCAAACATACTGCCTTCCGATTACTTCCATTTTCAGACTTTCTGTTACATGTAATATATATTTACGATGCCCTAATCTTCTAGTTTAAATTACAATAGCCTTTGCTGTTCCAGCTTCGTGAAATGCATTCAGGCTTTCAAAGATTACACCGATTGCACATCTGCCTGTTTTTCTTACGTCACGAATATTTCTACGTCGAGATTATCTCTTGAGATAAAGATAACAACAGTGCATTAGCTATATGAGTTCTGTAAGAGCCGTGCAAACGGTGTACTGGTTAGAAGAGCCTTCTGCGTACCAAACGTTCGAATCCCAGAGAAGGCATGGAAGCTTGTAAACGTATAGTGTCTTCGCGGCATGCGGCCACTCAAAATGTATGGCGAGCCGAGAGGTTCGTGCTAGGGGAAGATAGGTGGGAGACCCTCGGACCTGTCTCCTCGTCGTCTTGTCCATCAAAATCGGGGAGTGGAACGACGTGCTTGGAAGCTTGCCAAGATCATTCTACTACCAAAACCAGGAAAAGAGATAACCAGATCGGACGGGTACCGCCCAATTAGCTTGCTCTCGGGCCTCGGAAATATTTATGAGAAAATTATCTATGCTCGCTTGCAACCCTACTTTAACAGACTACTTTTGGAACAATTTGGTTTCAGAAAGGCTTATCCACAACCAAACAATTAGTTAGACTCACCGAGTTAATTGGCAGCACCGTACATAACAAGGAAAGTGTCGACTTACTCATGCTGGACGTGGTGAAAGCCTTCGACCGCGTTTGGCATGAGGGGCTTATTTATAAGCTGATCCAGCTAAATTTTGACCGGGAACTAATTCTGCTAATCAATTCTTTTATTATTAACAGAAGATTTTATGTCTCAATGGGTCAGGATACCCCTAGCGTCAGAAGAATGTGCGCCGGTGTAGCGCAGGGGTCCATTTTAGGACCTATTTTGTATCTTTACTACGTGATGGCCTTCCCTAAATTACAGAACGACCACAACAGCTTTCTTGGATGCTACGCAGATGACACTGAGTTAGCGATTAAATCTATCCGTTCGAAGCACGCTATTCAAAAACTGCAGAACTTCATACCTAACATTGAAGACTGGTGCATCAAATGGCGCGTCGCAATAAATGCTCAAAAGTCACAATGATCATCAGGAGAAGGCAAAGAAAAACTATTAATGCTAATCTCAGTCTTTTTAATGAGACGATTCCACTTGTAAAGAAGGCAAATTATTTAGGGGTTGTCATCAATCATAAGTTCACCTGGTCGGACCACATTGGCAAGGTCAGACGTAAGGCTTTGTATATTATTCACAAATTAAATCCACTTGCTATGTTCAAGCTCGAAACTCAATCTGGTCGAAAAGAGGCGCATCTACACTGCTCTTATCAGACCGATGCTCTGTTACATCTCACCGGCAAGGGCCGCGGCCTCCAACTCAGAGATTGCAAAATTACAGGTCATCCAAAATAAGTACCTACGCCGGATTACGAACGCCCACTACTTTGTTAGCAACGATACCTTGTATAAAGATTTAAAAATTGAGTATATGGATGACTACCTGCAGATTACAAACGGAAAATTCTTTGCTAAAGTACGTGAATGCATACATCTAAACTCTTTAAATGTTTTTAATTATGATATTCTGCAAGACGACGACGATATTCGCCCCCTCGCGGCCCACCTCACCCGAGATTCTAATTTCCCCACCTAAATACTGCACTGTATATAACTTCAACTTCATTACTAGCATTTATTTTATTTTGTTTCATTTACTCGGCATTATATTTTGTGTATTCTTTCTACTTTCACATGTTATTCTTCATGCAGTATTAGGTTCACAAATCGCACTATTTTGCTTTTCCATTTGCTTCACTGGGCTCGTTACTGTCGGCCACAAACCTTTCCACCCCCTTAGTTCTCCTTTGGGATACCACGGTCATGTAGCATTCACCAAAAGCTGTTTCAAACAGCTATATACAGCTTTGGCATTCACGTTATGTGCCATAAAGGCAAAATTCCTGTTATTGAGCCGAACACGTTGCGCTGCCGCGCAATATCTCGGCATAAAATGCTCGGATCGGGAGTGGAACGAGCGAGGTCGTACTGTCACCTGTATGGTGCTTGCTAACGGCAGGCGTAATCTTACTCTCCCTGCCACGAAGAATTTCGTGGGCTTGTTATGCTGTTACTTTCGGACAAGTAAGATTAAGTCACAACAATAAAAACAGTTTCTATAAGAAATGCAAAATTTTCAGAGGGGTATGAATGTCCGGGAGTGTATTTTTACGATTTCAAATTAAATACAACTTTAGTTACAATAAGAACTTTGAACGTGTTATCATCATATTTCAATTTTGTATTAAATATATATTATCACCACCAAAACTTGGTTATGTTAAAAAATTGGTATGTTATTTCAGAAAAAAGTCCGATTTTGTGTTAAAATACCTATTTTAGAACAATGCTATATAGAAATCTAATATATTTCCTATGTTGCGCTTTCCAAACATGGAAAAATCAAGTTACATTTAGACAATCGGTTCAATAGAACGGGGGATATATAACTATCCCATTTTTTTCTTCTTTTTTTGAAAGGTGTACACTGGAAAAATTAGTACATTAGTAGTTAATCGTTATAACAGCTATTCCATTACAATACATTGGCATATTAAAAAAATTTTTGCACACCACTGCCGTTATATATATATGCGTGTGTGTGTCTTTGTATGTGAAAAATAAAAATAAAATAATTTTTCTGAGAATTGATCATTCATATCCCATGAAGTTTGAAAAAGAATGAGAATCCAAAATGAATCTTTGCACATTTTTTGTCATTTGAAAGTTCCAAATTCTAACCTTTTAAAAAAATTCAAATATTTTATTTCAGTTTTTGGAGAAAGATTAATTTTATCAACATCCAGCAGAAATTCTAATGGCTTTTCTCACTTGTAAACATGAATACAAGCTAGTTCCCCTTAAAAAGTCCTCTGCAATGGCCTCCCTTCATTCAGGTAGATAGCCTTCAAGTGTTTTGCCATAATCTAAAATCTTTCTCCACCAGCAGCTGAATAGTGATGCTTTGACCCACATTCAAATCTCAGTGAACAGTTTGGCTATATGGGAGTTTTTGTGGCTTTCCCCGTGTGTAATGTAAATACCAAATCAATTTCTGAGCTCTACAGACATTTAGGCTTCAGTTTCTGGTGCGAGAAAGAAAACTCTGAGTTTTGTGTTACACAAAGAAGTCATAGCTCCTCGGGATTAAATTTCAGAAATTAGAAGTGCTAAAGCCCTATGAAAGGCAGTCAGTCACATTTAACAAGTATAAATAATGGATAATTAAAATTAAACAAGAAGTAAACAGACTAAGAAATTAAGTTAAAACCAGTGGTAAGTAGATAAATAATGGAATAAAAAATACATTATAAAATTGTATTAAAGAACAAAATATGTAAAAGTTGACAAAATTTATGACAAGACACCGTACCTATCATAATTATTCTCTGCAGTTTGTAAAATTGCTTCTATTTTATTTAAAAACCTTCTTGACCAGGTGGGTACAAACCATTAATATTCCTCTTCCTGAAGAAAGAGCAATCTGAATGTAGGATTTGTTCCTCAGCAGCTCTAATTTTCTCCCATATTTCATTCACCCAAGTATCTCATAGTAATTGCTAAAAAATTTTCCATTAAATTGTTGAATAACTGGAGTTAATTTAGGACTCAGGCTAAAACTACAAATCTGCTCAAAAACTAAGAAGCATAGAAGCCAAATTCCAGTGGCCTCTGGCTGAATTTAAATACTGTAGCTACTTCTATAACTGCATTTTTTAAATGCAGTTAGTTAAAAATAAAATTCACTGTACTAAAATAATTTAAATTTACACTAAATAGGCTCAATAGAAAACAAGTTTTTACTTTTCTTTTATATGTGTAACTGAAATCAAAACATGATTTAATGAATCAGAAATGACATAAAATGTGATAAATTTCTAATTTCTGAAACTGTAGTAGGTAATTCATAAAATTTAATTTCTTTAAGTAAACTTTTGTCTTCAAGAGCAAAGGGGGCAAATAACATCAGGCAATGGGACATACTAGACTAAAAAAAAATTATGATTTAAACATCAGGTGATCATGCAATATCAGCTTGAAAACATTTGTTCTCCCTCCAGTCAGTTAGTTAGTTTTCTAGGAACACGGGATTCTTCCTATTCAATTTTCGTTTCCATTTCAGATTTTATAGCAAGGGATAAAGCTGTAAACTTTACATTAAACCTCACAAAACAATCAAGTTTTACCAAAACTAAAAGCAATGTAACAAAACTTAAAAATTCTTTCTCACGAAAGGATTTATGTAATTTTCATCCATCAGATATCTTGAAAAGTGTTAGGTTTTTAAACGTAGTTGAAGATCTAAATTAAGGATGATGCTTTGATACTTAGGCTGTCCCTGGCTACTTACAGGTAGTCATTTAAAAAGAAGCTTATAGATTTAAATTTATGCATAGAACAGGGTTGTCACTTACTTTTAAACTGTAATTTGTAAATTTAAACACAATTTATTACAAGTAAAAAAATAAAAATATGTCACTTATACTACTTATTGTTATGATTCTTAGCATCCTATAGAAAAAGAATGTTATAGCAAGTGGTCGATTAAAAAAATAGATTTAACATAGTCTCAACAGTTGGTGGCATTTTGTACCATTGTCATAATGAAATTGTATAATGGTGACCATTATTCTAAGCATTGGTTGTACATGCCTGTCCTGTGTTATATATATATATATATATATATATATATATATATTAAAAAAAAAAAAAAAACTCAAGTCCCAGAATCAGTTTTATTGAAAATCAACATAAGAATTACACTTAGGTAAGATGACTAGAATTTTTGTATGTGATCAAATTCAACTCATACTATCCAAAGACTATTGCATCACAGTAATAATATTCAAGGCTTCACATTTCTTAGCTAATTTTACAAATGAATAATATCAAACTAAGGTTCTCATGGCAATTTTCATATTATAAACTTTCAGCAATAAATTTGGTCTAATTAGCATTACACTAAAAAAAGAACTTGTACAAACATTTATATCAGTTGGTATGCTTCATTACTGGATTTCTCACCAAGCATTCTTTGAAATATAGTAACTGATTTTTTTTTTTTTTTTCAAACATTACATTTGCTGCCAATGTCGCAACTATCATAACCTATTTCAGTTAAGGTCTAGGAACAGCTTTCAGCTCACAAAATCTAGGAACACTTTTTACTTTATAAAGTACCTCCTCAGCGATTTGCATAGATCTGTTGGCTTTATTTAGCTATAATATCATTCAGGAGAAATCAGAAGGTGAAAATTATTTTCAGTATTCAAAAGAAAAGTTGAAAAAAGCTGCTGTAATACATGCCAATTAGGATAAATTCCTGTATCTGCATTTTGTTATAATGTTTTCTTTCTCTAAAATCAAAATATATATTTGTCATTTCAGTTACTTTCATAATACATGCATTATTCATATTTTATATAAAAATATTCACAATTTAGGAAAAGTTATAAACATAGCAACATTAAGAAAAACTGAAAACTTCTCATATACTTGTTTCAATACACAATTTATAATAAAAAGTCGATATATAAAGAGAGAAATTTAAGCTAATTTTAGGGATAGCATGCTTATTATATACAACACCATAAAAAAGTAAATATTTTAATTATAAAAATAATGCAATTCTTATATACCATACCACAATAAATACTTGAAATCTAGCTACATAAAATATCAAAATGTGAAACCTTAAGTAACAAAGTGAAACATAAATTCGATTCATATTCTTTTGATTACACTCAGAAATATAAGTACAAAAACCAGTTTAACAAAAAAGTATAGAAGACTGTATGAAAATTTTAAACATGTGTTTCCATTCTTTTCTGCCATACACATTAGTTAATGGCTCGCTTACTAATGAAACAAATATCTGCTATTCAAATGTTAAAACTGTACTTTAATTAAAATTATGGCATATGAGTGAACAATGGAAGAAACAAGGAATATAGCTGGAATGAAATAAAATGAAAGACAACAGGACTTAAACACATATATGCTATATTGTACAAATTTCTCCACTTAGCATTTTTTAAAATCTGTTTTTAACAATTTGTAGTTGGGAAGGAATGTGAATATTAATAAGTCTATAGTGAAACATGCATAAAAAATGACATGATGGAAGAAATTATAAAAACGTTCTATCAAGCAGACTTATAACTTTTTACTTTAAAAATAATACCATAATTTATGTAAAGTTTCACTGTTACTGTTCTACATATAAGATTAATTTTGGTGGAACAAACAAATAATCATACATATTACTTTATATTTAGTGTTTCTGAAATTCACACTTATTCAATAGTTTAACAATATAAAGTTTTAAAACTTTGAATTCATTCTGAAATAATCAAAAGAAAAAAATTACTGAAGTAATGACACACTGTTATTGAATATTTTATGCCTTGCACATTATTGGAATGAAATATTAGCTTTAATGTTATTGTTCTGATATTCAAATCTCAAAAACTCCAACACTCAGGTTTTTCTCATCTGTAAATACAGAAGTGGTAATTTATGGTTATTGAATGTTTGCACTTTCTGCTTTCTTTCAAATAAAAAAAGAAATGCATGAATCTATTTGCACACTAATATGTAAAAGAAATGCAAGAATACATTTGCACACTAATATGTATAAGATGTAATTTTAAAGTTCCAAGACTGTACAAGTAGCGAATACCACTTACATGCTAAAGTAATGCATGCAAAGGACAGCAAAAACGTTTTTACGTCGATATGCCATGAGGCATTGCAATATTATGAATTATACAATTTTTTCATCACCACACTTGTTCATTTATAATATTAATTTCAGACTGGAATAGAATTTGAAATTCTACATGAAACTCTTGAAATCAGTCACAGAAATGAGACAGTTGATATGCCAAATGAAAAAAATTCAAAAGATATCAAACATCATTACTGAAGGAATAAAGGTCAACACAACCATTTCAGATTTCAATAGAAAAGTTCCCAGAAATTATTATATTCTTTAGATCGTCATTAAGGACATAACTAATGCAATCCCTGTGTCATTTGGAACACTTCAAGCAATCCTTTGATTCAACATGAACATCCCTGCTACCTCAAGTTCGTACCATGGCTTCAGACTCTTTATTGAAGATTCTTCCAGGATCTTCATCACTAGGTCTGGCAACTTCTTCACTCTTGTATAATTCTCGTCACAAGTTAGAATTCATTACCTGATTACCTGATCTGCACTTCACAAATTACAAAGATGATAACAATTAGATATACATTATTATCAATGAACTAAATAACAGTTGTCATAGTAAAAAAAGGCCCATGCTCCCAAGCATAACTAAGCAAGGTTAGTCAGATGCATTATTTAAAAGCATCCTTGCAAAAGTTTTAGGCATTCAAGTACACTGTAAATTGTTCCACGGAATTAGCATAGTGGGAAATTTTATACTGAGATCTTGAGTATCTAAGAAAAATCATTTGCCACAAGTGCCTAAGGCAATATGGTATTACAGTAGCATGATAAGGCCCTCACTTCAACAGAATTCAAAACACATCAGATTTCAGGCAATAGCAATATCCTGCCTTACTTGTCAGATTCACCTACCTTACTTGTCAGATTTTGCAACCCTATAACTTTTCTTTCTAAAACTCAAGCTTAAACTAAAGTGTTGAAATTTTAATAATGCAGAAAAGCTTTACTGTAAATCATACATGATGTCTGACATACTAGAAGAATCAGATTTTCACAGAAAATATTCAAACACTGACAGCAATGTAAAGCAATACGTAACTACTTTAAAGAGAACGATAGTCAAATTTAAATCAAACAAGTTTTTTCTCTCTTAAAGGGTATAGTACTGGAACTTTCAGATTACACCTCATTAAACAAAAACCAAATTTTATTTATTTTTTAAATGAAGCATAATATCCACATTTTGCAATAATTTGCAATATTATAGCAATGTATTCATAATATTTCAGAAATTCAGTTTTAAAAAATAACCAAAACTCTACCTTTTGAATTATAAGCAATAATTTTTATAGAGATCATGTTATACTGCAAAAACTTTGTATTATATACAGTGTAACATTACAAGATTTTGCAAAACCTTTCTATAAATACAAATCAACAACAAAAAACAACTTTATTGGCATGGTTATTTGAATTGTAATGATCCAGACATACAGTGTGTCCCAAAATAATTTATATTTTGAAAGATTAAATACAAACAAGAAAACTGTTAAATATATGCGTATCTAACTTGTGCAAGTAGAAAGAAAAAATGGGGATGGAAGTTTTTTATCTTACGAAGATTGCTGAATTCATCACTAGGCTATAAAACTGTAACTTTGGCATTAATAAATATGCAAAAACAAGTTTCATAATTGCAGTGCAAAGCACTTTTTTTTTTTAGAAGAGTTTCAAAATTCCTTCACCATGAGCAATGACAAACAGATGATTCCATATCTTTGAAGAGCAGGGATGTATTTGAAACGGTTAAAACATATATCATCCATATATGAGTAAAAGAGACGTACAGGAAGTATGACTGCCTGCAATTACAGTCCATCGAAGAAAGAGATGACAGCTGTCATCAAGACTAATCAGAAAAATACTCGACTGACAATGGTCCCAATACAAAGCATTGACTTTAAATCAAAGTACATGCTTATTTGCCTAAGGAGAGAGTTGACTTTGTGCAAGATTTAGGGAAACTGGCCCACGTTTATGTCATACATGTTGAAATCAATGAAAATGACAATGTAGCCAGCCTGTTCACCGGGATTTGAACTTGAATTAAACTGCCATTTTTCAGCAGTCTTATCCACTCAGCCACAGGTGAGTGCTTTTAAATAGAACATTCCCCCCTATTCATAACAGTACTAACTATAATTGTTTGATTATTATACTTAATGTCGTATAAGAAATACAACTATATCAATAATTTTGGGACATCCTGTACATAAGCAAATACAAATGTATGGACTTCCGAAAATAATACTACATTAATGTCAATTGCAAGCATGAATAATAAGGTACAATATTTAAGATATTTTAATTTACATGTCATATATATTTTAAGTTCCTATTGATTTATTTAATTCTCTTTTAAGTATTATTATAATGTTTCACTACATATTGAATCTGAATGTATCTTTGGTACTTGAGTCAAATATTTTGTCAGTAAAATAAAGATTTTTTCCTTTTATTTTAGTCTACTCACTAATTTATATTCTGCCTTCTAGCAAAACAGATGCACATAGGATTTTTATAGATTTTACTCTTGAGCACATAAAATAAAAATCTTCCAGAAGAACTTCCCCGCCAATGAGATAAATCTTATGTATTGTCAAGACAAATTTGTACATTTCTTTACTTTAAATAAAGTTTTCGTTATGACACATATAAAGTACTTTCTAATTATTCTCACAACCATTGTAAAGTGTTCATGACACAATGCGGTATATCACCAAATTAAGTGGCAAACTAAGATGTCACTAAAACATATTTATGTGGTAACCCATGTATGCACATAGCAGACCTCTGTTTTGGCTAGTGTGCAATGCTGAGGTTATGCATGATGGCAAATTGGAGAAATTCTCTTAATTCTTTTATTCTGGAAAAACAGATCACTGTGTACATCGGAAAAACACAAGTTTAAAAAAATTACAGATGGATTTCTTGAAAAAGGTAAAGGTTTAAATAACAATGTTTTTTATTCTTCATTTTATTGACTGATTGCTCTTTTACGGAATTTTCAGTATGTCCTTATTTTGAAAATGGTTCTTACCTCTCATGCATTAGCTTGATGAATTTTTTTCAATTTCATCAAGGGGTACCCTGTAGTATAAAAAACCCTGTTTCTCTGGAAAGCCACTAAAGTACCCAAGTACTCTAGCGGCTTTCCCAAGTACAAAGTCAACAATAATTTTATGACTTCAATGGGGGTGAGAATAATCTGAAAGCAGCAAATTTTTTTAATACCATGTGGACTACAAACCTAACCATCTAAAAGCAAGTAACTGCATAATATTTTTTATTTCTATTACCACTGTTACCCAAAATAATAAAATGAAACAAATCTGTTTTTATGAATATAAATCACAATAAGTAATGATTTTCTTTTCACTTTCAACCTAAAAGTTCTTGAAGGATTAATATCTTTTCAATTTGTTTTTAACATTTATTTCTAGAGATGATAAGATTTTACAAAACAAATTTTGTATGTAGTTATAGTGGTTCTATAAAAGTAAATTATATTTTTAGAGATTCCATAAAAGTACATTATACTTTTCAGGGATTATCCGAGTTGAAAAACTTTAAAGACCACTGGGTAATCGTCTAAGCTTATAGACTAAGCATGAACATTATACATTGCTTTTCTTCTTCCTATTTTTAATAACTGAACATCATTGGAAGTTTGAATTCATTTACACCATCAATATATTTACAATGATCTTCATATTCATAGTATGTCATGATCTTATGATGCATAAATTTATCACAGAAATTAAATATAAAAATAATAAATTCTTAACAGGACTAATAAGAATAATTTTGCCATTAAAATAATTCTTTTTTTTTTTTTCCCCAGACACCTGTACTTCATACGAGGTGTGCTAATGATAATAGATTTAAAAAAAAAAAAAAAAAAAAAAAGAGAGAGAGAGAGAGAATACATTTGAGTTTTTATAGGAAAAGCCATTCTTTAATAATAGTAAAATACCAAATTTAGGTATACCAATTATAATAATAATGAAAGAAGAAATTCATTTTTAGATTATCAAAATAAAATAAACATGCAAACAGCACTTTTGATGGACATGATTTTAATGATATCACACATTTTGAGTATTTGTCATTTTTCTACGACTATCTGCATCATTTTCTATATTGTTTGCTCAAAGGATAATATATCTGTTTTCTTTAAGTCTGGCATATAAGCATAACTCCTTAACCTTTTAACCGTCAAGTTATTCTGATGATTTGGGTGCATAAATTGTACATTTTGTTTAACTCAAAAAAAAAAAAAAAAAAAAAAAAAAAAAAACTGTGCACTTTGAACTTCTATCCACTATATGTGCACTTCTATCCTTTGAAACCTTCAGTAAAGTCCTGCCATCTGTTGAATTGAAGCCGAAATAAACTTCTCACGATATATATTCGGGTATAACAATACGATGCACTAAAAAAAAATTAGCCCGAGTAATGTTCGGGCTTGACATTTTGGAATACCAGTGATGTGCCGAGGTTATTTCCGGCATGACAGTTAAAAGGTTAAATACTACTCCTACGCAATGTATCAGATCTTCTGAAATATCTTTTTTTCTTTTTTTTAAATCAAGGTACAATATTGATTAAGATATCTCAAGAATACATAGCACATTTAGTAATGAGTCTTAATTTTGTCTCTTAAAAATTTGAAAGAAGAAACTGGCGAATGACAGACATCTACAAAGAAAAGTTAATCCTGGAAGTATACCATCTGATTTTATTTTATTTTAAATATTGCACATACAAGAATATTTTTTTAAAACATTAAAGGATATAAATTTTTGAATAATATTTTAATTAACAATATTACATTGTTTTCGTTTCAAAAAATCATATGAGAAAAACACTAACTTTTAAACCTAGCAAAATTTAATGCAAAATAAATTTTAAAAAGTAAACTGCCAGTACTAATTGCAGACAGCCATAGTATACGTACTATACAAAGACCATTCACATAATTACATAAGCAAAGCTTCCTGCCTTGGCTGTAAAATACTGAACAAATAAAAAGACTGTAAAGCAAAAATAATAAGATAGCAATCTGCTTTTATTGAGAATAATATGATCTGCTATAAATAAATAGTTCTGTTAAATTATTGTAAATCTATCTCTTCCAACCATACATATCAAACACATGTTGCATCCTTAAGAAATGCATATATGAAATGACACTTTTAGATTATAACAAAAATACCTTCCATATTAATTTTATTAGCATGTATTTAATATCATATTTCTGAATTTTAAAAAGTACTAATTAGCTATTATAAAATATAATACTAAAAGAAGCTTTAAAACATTCTACTGTAATTATAAAATATTTAACATAAGGATTTTAAAAAACAGAAAACACAACTTCCACATCCTAGTTTTACTTTCACTTTTACTGTTTCTGCTAAATATTTTACAAAAATACTAAATAAATAAATAAAAATTACAGTTATAAAAATTAATTAATGTAATAAATATTCACTTTACTTTATTCATTTTCTTATTTTCTAAATATCTGAATAAAAAATGTTTATTTTCTAATTGATGAATTAATTTTTTTTATCTTTTGAGAAATGATGAATATTTGGGTATTATGAATCTAATTTAATATAAAAATTTACACCAGAGGTTAATTCAGTATTTTAGAATTTTAAATAGAAAAATATAAGAATTTACTTAAAATACTATAAAGATTTATTTTATTTCCACCTTCCTCAGTAAATAGTTTGAATGCAATAAATAATTAATCTTCTCTATAAATGCCATCAAAGCAAGTGGAACCATCTAACAAAATAATGAACTTATTATTATTTAGGGATTTTTTAGAAGCATGTATAAATTATCTAGGGACAAAAATTGTTCTACTACAAAATACTATTCCTTGTCAATTAAATTAAATTTTTCTGCCACCACCCCCTCCCCAAAAAAGCAAATTTAAAAGACATAATAAACCTATCAATAGGTATTTAATATAATACTTGTAATTCTCATTCCATTTAGAATTCCTTAACTTCAAGAATGATTAAATTTACTTTACATCTTTATAATTAAATCAGTTTACTCCATCATACACAACATACATGTTTTGATAGACACATTTTTTAATGCATTTAATAACTCCTATGAAAATATTCCATTTTACTGTCTAAAGAATCATCATTATTCTGACACTTAAACACAGCAATATAAAGCATATGACAAAGGACATATGATGTTGACATTTGTTCATCTTGTATCACTTATGCAAAAATCAAAATCAACAATCTTAAAATTAACGAATAAACATATAGCAGAAGTTAATTCCTTTATCGTTGCATTTGATTCTTCACTTCCAATTCAGCAATGCTAAAAATCACAAGATCACCTATCTATCATATAAAAATATTTAAAAAATTTCAAAATTGCAATCTACTGTTGCATATAGTATTAGTTTTAACACTAGGTTAATTCAAACGTACTGTAAATTTTAAAACTCGCATTCCTTACAGAATACAGTGAGCAGGAATATATTACAATTTTGACTGCCAGCAGCTTGCTTAGCTAACTTTGATAAAAGATTTCTTGGGATTTTTAAAACTGAAATTGATTTACATGGCAATGGCTTTTGTCAAAAAAAAAAAAAAAAAAAAAAAAAAAAAAAAAAAAAAAAAAAAAAAACCTAGAGGGGGGAGAAGTGGCAATAAATTTGGGATGTTACTTTTATTGTGTGATTTCATGGCACTTCCATAATTTCTAATACTTTTGTTTTAAAATTGACCAACTAAATACTAGCTAGTTTGATTTCTTTCTTTTTTTTTTTTTATTTATATAATTACATACTTATCCAAAAGAAAATCCTCATCCATATTAACAGATTTATGAAGTGGGAATCTCTCATCTTTAGACACAGCATGTTCGACATTTTTCAAAAATGAATTAATAATTTGGGAGCCTCTTAAAGTGCAGGGTCCCTAATGGTTACAAGTGGCACAACTTTTTAAATCTGCCCTTGATCAACCACAGAAATCACAAAAATCTGAAAAATATGTCATTAATTTATCAATTGGTTTGGGAAATTTCCAAGTTTATTTCTAAGAAGTGTGGAAAATTTAACCTCAGGAAACAAACAAACAGAAAGTCTTTCCTATTGCCCCTCCCCAAAAAAGCCCTTTACAAATGGTCTTGAAAAAGAATTATTTTATGTGTGAAAAAAACATTTTTTTACAATTAATAGTCACACAAATCTACAGTTATACATTAATAATGATGATTAAGAATCTGAACATATATTAGCATTTTTTTGCAGTTAACTTCTACTATATTCATCACCTTTATTAAAAAAAAAAGCTTTTCTAACAATTTTGAAAACTGTCACTTTAATATAAATGTGTTACTATTCAGTCCATTTTTAATCTGAAACTGCTCAAGAGGCATATTTGAATGCCTTCGTAACTAACCTAATGAATAGATTTAACAAATTCTGTTTTATTTAAAGAAAAATTACTAACTTCAGAAACTGTTCTCCGTAACACTTTCTATCAGCTATTCACTGCACTCTAAAGGAAAGCAACACTTGTTACACAATAAATATAAGAAAAAGACACAAAAAATGCATAGTTATATAAATAAACAGATGTTATTGTATTTTCATCTTTCCCCCCTAACATGAAGAAACAAATACTTCAGTCGATAAACCAACCATTTTTTAACAAACAGAAAAAAATATAGACCATTACAGAATAATACTTCTGTACTACAGATTTCTATTTACAACAGTTAACTATATTCAATTTAATTTAAAACTGTAGGGTATTTATTTTCTATTTGCAGATAAACAGCTCTCAGTTTAATATTACATCAATGAAAAATGGATTTTTATTGCACGTTTATTCATATACATAAGTGACACGATGCTATTCTGCATTATGTTTTATTTAATAAGTTCCAATAATTTCTAATAATGGCATATTACCTAAACACTTTATGACAAGAATTTTATTTTTGCTTTTAGCCACAATAATTTACTAATAAGAAATAGATATGCCCACTGTATGTCAGTCCTCTGCAATTTAATAGAAGTTATTTATGTAAGTTACAGCAAATCAAGTAAAAAAACTACTGCATTCTTAAGAGCTGACCATACTGTATATATCAAAAGATATACCTCTCACTCTCCAAATTGGAATTTCCAAAGCCAAAGGGGGGGGGAACAAATTTTAAATTTCCTTAAATCTAAGTGCAAATCATTTAAGTGTATTGAATCCTGGAGCGTTCATATAAAAACAAGAAAAATGATAAAGCTTTCACTTAATTTGGAAATTTCAATTACATCAAAATTCAAAATCTTCATTTATTGAAAAACAGAATTTTTTAAAAACATATTTATGTTTAAAATCCATGAGATTTAGTAAATGAAATATATAATTAAAACCCTTGAATCTAGTTTATCTTTCAGCAAAATTTAATAAAAAGTAGAGTAAAAGTTCAAATTTCTTATAATTTTCCCAAAATCTTTTTAAATCAAAGTAAGCACAGAAAAAGAAAGGACTACTACAAAAATTGACACAGAATTTTGCTAAATACTCACTTGAAAATTAAGGAAAACCCTCTTTTTTTTAAAACTTTAAGAATAAAAACAATAAAAACTGATTCAGTTACCATTAAACTTGCAATTAAAAAAATAAATATTGTAAGCCAATTAAACTAATCTTAAAGTTTAATTAAACCTTTCAAATTTTTTTCATTCTTTTTAAGGTTAGGATGAAAAAAAATTGAATGAAAAAAATTAAGATTTAAGGTTTTGAATGTCTTATCTGGAACTGAATTCTTTGAGATACATGTTATTTATTATTTATGATAATAAAGTGTACCAATTCATGTCAATTTACTGTAATAATAGTATATTTCATTGTAGTTTTAAAAAATAATGGTATCTGGGTAGAATTTGTTTCTTCCTTTTCCTAATATTTGTAATCACAAATAAAACTTTTGTTCCATTTTATTTATTTGGCATCAGTGTCTGTTAATTACATATATAAAAACTTAGGTAAAGATACTTTAGGTTTGAAAAAGTATTTCTGGTAAAACAGTTCTAAAGCAAATACATCTTACCTTTTTTTGAGCTATTTTTGACCCTGAAACATCACAGATGTCTTGTATAATAATTATATCAAAGCTTCATCATAAAGATCAAATCATATTCAAATACATTAAAATGACATTTAAAAATTTGTCTGGGAATTTTAAGATAATTTTGTAATAATTTCATTCTTAAGGATGTTGCACGTAATATTTCACTTGTAAAATGTACATTATGAAAGCTAAAATTCTTAGCTCAACTTTTCATATAAAAGTGAGGTAATGGCACAAAATACTGTTGCATATGAACCTCTTGAATTGATCCTCCATTTTCCACAAATGAACTCGTTAACTTTTGTGATAGTCACATCACAATCTGCATAAACAAAATACTAAAGGCAAAAAGGCACCAATGGCTATAAAGATGGGTAACATTGTGCTGGAATCTTCTGTCTCATATGGATTGGGACTACGCGGTCCTGAAGGATATCGTACAGGTGACGACTTCTTTTCCACCTGTACATCTTCTTCCTCTTCTTTTTCATCTGGAGTTAATGATGGCAATTCAGGTACATCTACAAATAAAATAATCTTGATAAATAACAGAATTTGTTTATCTCTTATAAACAAGCTGCAATATTCATGAACTAAAAAAACATATGGATTGAGTTTCAAGCATTATCAACTTGGAGGGGGGAAAAATGACATTCTAAGAAAAACTAAATGAAAAAAAAGAAAAAAGAAAAAATTGAAGTGCATTTTATTTTGGCAGAAGTGCTTTCAACAACTGAACATCACCATAACCTTCACTTGCAGCTAAGTGAAAGGCAAATACCACAAACAAAAACAGAAATTTTTGAATCCCCTTCTTCAGCTGCAAGAAGTGAAAAAGAAAAGTATCACAAATAGTACGGGAAACAAATGAATTTTTGAGAACTTATCACAGCAACAGTCTTATAATCTTATACATTAAGTGATGCTGTATTATCAAAAATGCTGAATTATCAGACTAAATTGTATAATGCCTGTTGTAATTGTACAATGTTATATGCAATATTTTTTTGACATTATTGAATGTACTGAAGAATGAAAAATAATACATAGAATCTGTTTAGTTTTTTTATTAGCATAAGTCCTCTTGCACACATACTTTCAGATCTTTTTCCAGTGAATAATTTATACAATACACCATTCAAATGGTCAAGCATAGGTTTTGCATAGTTTTTTTGTTTGTTTGTTTGCTGAGTATTGATACTTTTACAAATAATTAACTCAGAAAATTCTGTAGTCCTTTCCCACTGATTTTTTATATCGTAATAAGTACAAGATACTACACAAATTCCTCCATTATAATGATTCCATTCTCATTCTTTTCTAGTCAACTATTAACATCCAATTTTTTGCAAACTTTTAAAATCCTGTTTTCCTTTTATACACATGTTTATCAAGTTTTGAAAACATTTTAAATATATGCAGAAAAATAAAGCAAACAATATATAAACTCAAAGTTTTAGATGAAAGATTAACTAAAAACAGGAAAATATATTATGTAACTACTCATCCTTTCTGAATATTGCCAAATAAAATGGAACCATCTTATGGCAGGTATGTGGGTAAAAGAAGTGCCAGATTATCTAATGTAATGAAACACAGAATTATAGATTATTGGACTTTCACTGTAATAGCTAACAATGATGCATCTATAATGAATGGGAAAAAACAAAGAAAAGAAATGAAGCAAGTAGTGCCATATGTAGATGGAACATCAGTGTTCATATATGAGTATAGAAATTGGGTTAAAATTCAATCACTGCAGAAGGAGCAGGTTAAGCCTTTTGAGGGCTCCAGGTGGTAAAATTTGAGGGCTCCTAAGAAAGTACTTATGTATCTATGTGCCTGAATTGCAGTTAATGCAGAAATGTAATACGTAATTAAATAAATATAACTATTTAAAATAATTAAGATTTTAATAAAACTGGGATTTAATATTTTTATATCTAAATATTCTTATATTATTTCATCTACGTATAAAGACTAAATACATAAAAATTTAAATTATATTAAATATTAAATAGTCTCTGCTAAAACTTTCATTCATGGAATACTTTAAACATTAAAATATTTTATTATTAAATTGAATGACTATTAAGTAAAAGGCTTCATAACTTTTTTCCTTGACTTCTTGCTTGAAAATTCATCAATTATTTCCAAAATATTGATTGATTTATTCAATAATTCTAGTTAAATGTAAATAGAGCTAGACAGTTTAATCTTTCTTCTGATATTGTACTTCCTAAGTAATTTTTTACTCTTTTTGAGACACAGGAAGACGTTTCTCCAGATGCAATGGAAACTGGACAGGAAAAAGAATGACAGCTCTCTTATAGCATGATATACTCATGTGGCAGAAATAAATTTATTTATCTTTATCTTTTGTTAAAAATAAAAACTGTTTTATTTCATCATCAAAATACATAATATTTATATCATTTTTATAAATCTCATTTAATTTTTCTAGACAGGCCTTTTTCTTAACTAAATTCAACAATTTTAAATTAAGGAACATTCAAAGATGTTTATATATTTATATATATGTTATATATGAAATAATAGCAAGGAAAAGATGGAACAGCATTGATGTGTAATACCCAGATTGGATAAATCGCAGATTCATGTTAAAAAGGAAGCATTCTGATTGTGTCGTATGCTAATATGTTGAGTTCGTAATATCTAAGAAACCTTGCAGTAGAGGCAGTTTTAATTCCATTTTTACTTTCCAGCAAGATGGAACCACATGAAGAGAAAAGTTTTGGTTTGAGTTAAAAACTTTCAGTTTCCAATTATTACATCATCAGCGCTGCACAGGATATGCTAAATGGAATGATCTAGAAATGATGCAATACGAAGAAGTTATTACTATTTTTAGTACAGAAAGGGAGAGCTAAAAAGTTACAATTAGTTTAAATTATAATTTTGATTCACGTATTTTTTATCTTAGATATATATGTATATATATATATACAGTCAAAAGTCTTTAATCCAGACTCGTCGGGACTTCGACAATTTCAGATTATAGATGAACAGTTTAAATCTGGTAAGAAGGCATGCAGATATTATCAAATTAAAAATATGAAACCATCATTTATGAAATAAAGAGCAATTATGATCTAAAGGGTATCAAATTTACAAAAAAAAAGCTTAATATTTATTTAATAATACTTTATTAAACATTTCTTTCAACGTGCGCATGTGTAAGCATACATTACGCATAGTCGAAATTAGAAAATTGCAAACAGGAAACTATTTGATGTGTATTCATGATATTTAAGATGACGAGGAATTTGATTTAAATCATATCAAAGACAAGATGAAATACTACATTTATTAAGGAATTATAAGCCAAATAAAATAAAAACATCTGCCTTGAAGATAAGGATAGTTGCTGACAAAGCAACTTCCATTTCATTGCGCGCTGCAACGTTCCCCCCCCCCCCAAAGAGCAGAGTGAAATTGATAAACAGATTTTGGAATTTTTAGAGAAACAAAGGATATGCCTTTATCCATTTTTTGCAGCAATTCCCCGTTTTGTTTGATGGACATCGAAACATGCTTTCGCTTTGTAAATCCTTTGGTAGCTCCAGAAACGGAAATTCTTTTTGACGTAATTGAAAGTTCAAGCTTACTTTTTATAAAATTGCTCTAACAGTCTGCAAAAAATAATAAGCTGGATCCAATTAGAAGATTAAGGAACAACACGATCTGCAACATTAACTAAAATATATAATTAGATAATTTTAGCCTAGCTTAGAACATCTGTTATACATTAAACGTGCATGCGTAAAGGTATTATGCGCATGTACATTTATGCATGCGCAGAAAGTTTGTAGCTTTGAGGTCCGGATTACAGATCATTCCGGATTAAAGACTTTGTACTGTAATATATGCATGGTTATAGAATAAATTCAAACCATAATTCCCAAGACACATGATGAATAACACTATAGTAGTGAATTGCTTTAAAATTAAAACTATTCTGCTGCATTGGTAATTATCCAAAATGGAATTCAAAAACTTCTGTTTCATGAAAATCTCATCAAAAGCAGAAATTCAACATGGCTTTATCTCTAAGAATACTGCTTAAATAATAGAATCCATTTGAATTTTTACCTGAATAGAAAGTTTCACCTCCTGCCACTTCCAAAGCATTCATTATAATATTTCATTATTCATTATAATACACTCATGTCCATAAATTAAGGATAATTCGGAGTCATGCGGAAATCGAACTCTAAAATAAATATATCACCTGTAAAATCACTACACACATCTTCAAGAATCATATGCAAATTTCAGGAAGTAACCAGATGACACCGATGGTACGTCACAATGACGAGAGTGTAAGAGAGTGATATATAAGGAATACAGGCAAAGAAGTAAAATTGTTCGCAGGCGCTTTATAAGCATTTCAGTGCAATAACCGAATAGTTATGACACAAAGGATGCATTTGGATGATTTTTTACGTGGTAGAATTATCGGCCGTCTGGAATGTGGGCGTACCCAACTGGAAGTATCAGACGAACTTGGAATTGCCCAGAGTGTCATCTCCAGGCTTTGGCAACGATTCCAAGATGATGGTAATGTGAGTAGACGTTACAGCACAGGTCGCCCCAGAGTTACAATGCCGAATGAGGACCGGTATTTGGCAGTTACTGCCAAAAGAAACAGGCGGAGCACAGCCTCAGACCTGTCTCGTCAGCTCTCTTCAGCCACTGGTACGACAATTTCAAGGCAGACCGTGTACAGACGCTTAGGGCAGATTGGTCTATATGCTCGTAGACCTGTCAGATGCGTTCCACTTACTGCAACTCACTGTCGCCTGCGGTTAGCCTGGAGTAGAGAGCATGCATTGTGGACACCGCAACAGTGGGCTTGTGTGATGTTTTCCGACGAGTCCAGGTTTAGCTTGCAGTCTGATTCTCGCCGGACTTTCATATGGAGAGCTCCAGGTACCCGTTACCACCAAGAAAACATCATTGAACGACACCGTTACGGTGGTGCAGGAGTGTGCTCGTTTGGGGTGGAATTATTCTGGGTTCCAGAACTGACCTGCATGTTCAAATTGGAACCATGACAAGCCAAATCTATCGGGACGTCATTCTGGAACAACATGTACGTTTGTTTCGGGGCGCCATGGGCGCACAATTTGTGTTTATGGATGACAACGCCCGTCCTCACCGTGCAAACATCGTAAGCGAATGCCTTCAATCGGAGGATATCACCCATATGGACTGGCTAGCATTATCACTGGACTTGAATGCAGTAGAGCACTGCATTCAAGTGTGGGACATGCTTGGCCAATGAGTTGCAGCCCGTCAACCTCCTCCTACATGTCTACCGGAACTTCGGAGAGCATTGCTTTTTGAGTGGTGTAATATCCCCCAAGATCAGATCGATAGTTTGATACTCAGCATGCCTAGGCGTTGTACGGGCTGTATTGTATCGTCTGGGAGACATACAATGTATTAACAATCATACCAACCATGTAATATTGGTTTTTTGTAAATATTTTTTTTTTTTTTTTTGTAATTTGCTCCAGGGAGAAAAAATCGCTAATTTTTTAATAATATCAAACATATAGCATCTTTTTTTGCTCTTTACCTTTTGTTTAATAAATAAGCTCTACAAATAAGTCAAATTTGTTTTGCTTCTAACTCTTCCTTTGCCTTGATTTTGCATTATCCTTAATTTATGGACATAAGTGTATTTTCCTTTTCTAAATTGCTAACAAATGAGTTAAACAAACATTGCAGTATCCAAATTTATTTCATAAAGCTGTAAAAATGCTTTAAATCCATAGGTAAGATGTCAAAAAATTTAAAATTACTACATAAGTTTACTGAGTTTGATAATAATTTTTCAGTTGCATAATATCTTTGTGTGCATATGGGTTCTTAATAGATTAAATGCATACAGAACCAATGATAGCTTTGTAAAATTTATTTAATTTAAGAAACACTTCACAGTTCTGGAAATTTCCACAGAAACAGTTGTACAATTCTTCACAGTATCACCAAGTACAATTAGTAGTTACATTTCAAATTATCAAGAATGTTAAACACACTTCCAGTAGAAGGCATACAAGGGCTGGGTATGGTTACAGCTAAATATGGAATCAATTGCAGTTATTAAATTACAATTCACATTATGATAATATAGGGACCGGACCCAAAAGTTGTGAAATGGACACCAAGTTTGCGGACTTTTGGCAATTTCTTGCTAAACTTGGCAATAAAATCTAGTCACCCAAACTATCACAATCTTGGTGATATCTAGCTAATTTAGCAAAATAGCCATTTACTCAATGTTTAATAGACTTGCCAATGAATTCTTACTTTTCTGGCAAAGCTCCGCTTCTTAAGTTTTCAGAAAGGAAAAAAAAACCTACAGTTTCACTAAAAGTATTTACATAAATAAAAAATTCGTAACATTACAATATAGACTACATGTAAAATAGCTATAAGAAAACTTCATTAAATTTAAAAACTAGGGAGGAACAAGTACTAGTGAAAGAAGTATCCCTACATTGGGGGGGGGCAATAGAGAGTAAGTGATTTGCCTGAAGGGATACTGCTGGGAGAGAGAATCACAAGTGAGGTTGATGGGGGGGCACAATGGGTTACTGGCACGGATCCCCATAGTTACTAAAGATAGGAGAAGGAATTTGGGAGTGAAATAGCATGGATGCAGGAAATTTTAATGGAAATGTGTAGATGTGGAAACAAAGGAAAAAAAAAAAGTCTAATATTTTCTGAACATGACCCTGCCGATATAATTATAGTTGTCGAACAAAATGTTACAGGAATGAATAAGGTCTTTTGAATTGTCCTTCAAAGTCTGAGCTGTAAACGCAGAAAAGAAAGGTTCTGTACAAGTAAAAAAAAAAAAAAATTCATTCCCCATATACTATTAAATTATCATTACATCTTTCCAAAATGTTCCACTTCTAGTAGTTTCACGAATGAAAAATTTACCGCTTTCAAAAATTCAATGCACTTCCAGGAGGAAAAAACCTCTGACGTGTGGGTGGGATCTTTTCTTTTTCAGTGGGGGGGGGGGAAGCTCAAAGTGAACATCAAAGGGCTTGTTTCTCTTTGATGAGACAAGTATACATTCAGAAGTTAAAACTTGTTTTTCAAGGCAGGCTTATCAAAATAAAATTTTCAAATTCTAAAGAATTCTGCGCTGAAATTGTGCTTTAGTTATATAAAAGAAATGCCCAAGCCCTCTCATTTAAAGGTGCTTGTGTGCTCCTGCTACAGTTGAGATTTATCTAAAAAATTTAATAATACTACTAGAGCCAGTCCAAATTCATCTGCAAGACTACAAAAAAGATCAACAAGGACCCAACAGCTATGTGTCCTCCACACAGTGTCCTTATTGGCATGCTAAATCACATGACCTACATTTCTGCACATTCCTAATCATCACTAGCACTACTCTCATCTCTCATAAAGGCCCTCACTCAGGCTCAACTGCTTGCCCAATATCGCTCACAAATTGTTACCACCTTTTTCTTCTTAGCCTCCATGACACGATTTTAACTAATTCAAGCACCAATTAAGGCAGCATTTTAATATAGTCAAAAGTCGTTAATCCGGCCTTGTCGGGACTTCAGTGATTCCGGATTATTGATTTTTCCAGATTATAGATCATCAGTTTAATTCTGGTAAGATGGCATGCAGAAATTATAAAATTAAAAATATGAAATGGTAAGTTATGAAATAACGAACAATTATGATCTAAAGGTTATCAAAATTTACAAAAAAAAAAAGGAAGCTTAATATTTATTTGTTTACTTTATTAAACATTTCTTTCAATGTAAGTTGTTTAAGTTGCTTTGTTTTTTATGTGATAATACATTCTCTTTAATTATATAAACAGACATAATTTCTTGTTCAGTTACAAAATTCCGCTGTTCAAGTCCTATAATTGCTGTGTCGAGAATACCCGACTAATTTGTCAATCGAAATTTTTTTCGTTTTCAATAACCTCTGTCACTTTCTTCGCTATCGGAAGCGAATTATAATGACGAGGAATTTGATTTAAAATCATATCAAAGACGGAGTACATCGAGATGAAATACTACATTTAGTAACGGAATTATAAGCCAAATAAAATAAAAAACATCTGCCCTGAAGATAAGGATAGTGCTGACAGATCAACTTCCAATTCTTTGCGTGCCGCAGTGTTAAAGATAAACAAAGTTTAGATAAACAAAGGATATGCCTTTATCCATTTTTTTTTGCAGCAATTCCACTTTTTGTTTAATAGACTTTGAAACATACTTTCGCTTTGTAGATCCTTTACATATTAGTAAATATATATCAGAAATTCTATTTGACACAATCGAAAGTTTAAGCTTACTTTTATAAAATTGCTCTAACAGTTTGCAAAAAATAATAAGCCGAATCCAATTCGAAGATTAAGGAACAACGCAATCTTCAACATATAGACTACATGCAAAATAGCTATAAGAAAACTTCATTAAATTAAAAAACTAGGGAGGAACAAGTACTAGTGAAAGAAGTATCCCTACATTGGGGGGGAATAGAGAGTAAGAAGCGATTTGCCTGAAGGGATACTGCTGGGAGAGAGAATCACGAGTGAGGTTGATGGGGGGGGCACAATGGGTTACTGGCACGGATCCCCGTAGTCACTAAAGATAGGAGAAGGAATTTGGGAGTGAAATAGCATGGGTGCAGGAAATTTTAATGGAAATGTGTAGATGTGGAAACAAAGGAAAAAAAAAAGTCTAATATTTTCTGAACATGACCCTGCCGATATAATTATAGTTGTCGAACAAAATGTTACAGTAATGAATAAGGTCTTCTGAATTGTCCTTCAAAGTCTGAGCTGTAAACGCACAAAAGAAAGGTTCTGTACAAGTAAAAAAAAAAAAATTCATTCCCCATATACTATTAAATTACATCATTACATCTTTTCAAAATGTTCCACTTCTAGTAGTTTCACGAATGAAAAATTTACCGCTTTCAAAAATTCAATGCACTTCCAGGAGGAAAAAACCTCTGACGTGTGGGTGGGATCTTTTCTTTTTCAGTGGGGGGGGGGAGCTCAAAGTGACTCAACTGCTTGCCCAATATCGCTTACAAATTGAATTAGATAATTTTAGCTTAGCTTATACCGTCCTTTATACATTAAACGCGCATTCGTAAACGTATTTTGTGCTCGCGCACATGCATATTCGCAGCCGTAAAGTCTTACGCGCATGCTTCAACGAGACGCACGCGCAGAAAGTTTGCAGCTTTAAGGTCCGGATTATAGATCATTCTGGATTATAAATGTCCGAATTAACGACTTTTGACTGTATAGCTCGCATGATAAATCAGCCATAACTCAATATTGGTATTATCTTTCCTTGAATTACTGGCGAAAATGTTGACAGTATTCAATCACTAAAAGCACTTCTAAAATCAAAATCTACGTTAATCAGTGTTGCTTTTCTTTCACTCACTTTTACTATCAACTTACCTGTCAGTGTTCCTCTAACCACATATATAGCATTGATCTTAGGATTATCCCGATAACCCTATAAAAAATACAGATTTACATAGCATGAATGAAAAAGTTTTAGCATTACAAATGTGCATGACATACAATACATCTCATTTATGAATAGTTAATTATATCACACCACATTAATGTTTTGTGCAGCATCAGAAAATTATTAGAATTTTGAAATTGTGGTTTACCTACTATCTTTTTTCATTCATGAAACTTAGAGGGTAATGATATGCAAACATTGAAAAGAGACTGCAGTCTTAAGAGTTAGAGACTGTGAAGAGAATTAAATTTAAAAAAGACTGCAGTATAATACTTGGAAAAAATTAATAATATAATTTTAAAATGTTATAAATAAGCTGTTAAAAACAACTATTGGAAAGTCTTCCTTCTACATAAATTAACTAAAGAACTGTATATTTCAAGTTAGAATGAAAATTATTATTATTATTACAAAATTAAAACAAACTTCAAAAAATTTAGAGTAAAAAAGCTTGAAATGACTTTATGGAATATTGATTCTTCAATTAAATAAATGTCCATATGTTTTCAATATAAGTAATGAATATTAGGCAAACTGCAAATGTAACATAAGTAGCATAATAACTTAATGAAAGTGGAATTTTACATTTAGTTTCCCAATTTTCACATCAAATATATGCTATAAACACAAATAACATTCCAGAAATACAAGATAACATGAAAATATTGCTATAAAAGTCATACCTTTATAAATTCTACTCTTATTTTACCATCATGTTCTGACTCTTCTTCATTTACTATTAATTTATTGCCCTTTACTGTGAATGGAATATGCTCATCGTGAGCAACTCCTTTCCCAACTTTTGCAAATATGTCCAAATCAGAAACAACAGTATGAACACCATTAAGTGTCACATCAAAAACCTATAATATACAAAATATATTCTAAAAATAGCATATTTAATGAAATACGAAATAGAAAGTCAATGTATCTTTCTGGGGAATTACAGTACACAAAACACTATAGGTTTTGGATAAATGAAATGTCTAATTGGAGTTTTAGTAAGAAATATAGCCTCTAGCCCACATAAAGTTTGTGTGTTATGTCACAATATCACTAAATTCTGCAGCATGCTTTTCTTCTATCAATTTAAACAGGAATGTTCTACATGACTTGAAGCACAATATATTTACAAGATGCAGATAATGAATATGACATATACATTCTGAATTTGCATGAATACACCATGAAGTTTGGTAAGTTATCTTTGTAGCCATCAGCTTACAACAATTTCAGATGAGCTCTTGAACAGCTGCTCTGATGAAAGTGTTTGAGACATTGCATACAAACTCAGAATATATAATATTGCTGCTGTTCAGCATTTTCAAGTCACAGTGGGACATTAAAGGATGCAACTTCCGCCTAGTTATTGATGATTTCATACACCATATTTATTCAAAAATAAGACAATTTTGAATATAAGATCTCTGTTATATTTTAGAATAAATTTTAAGAAATAAAAATGCAGGTGAAAATCCAATCAGAATGTAATTCTGATTAGAATAAAAGGTAAGCAGCCTATTTAAACACAATACTTTACCATTTTATAAAATGAAAAAGTCAGAAATACTATGTTACTATTTGTGTTCAGTATTACTAGCGACAAACTAATATAGTGGATGAAGGCCTAAGTTGAAATTGCCCAGCTAGACATGGGTATTCTAATTAGCAGTAGTTATGCAGATTGTAAAGTAAATTCCTGATTTATCTGGATTGTCTAAAAAATATGAAGTCTGTTTATTGCGGAATAATGGAAAAATTAGAATCACAAATGACTAGCGTAAAAAAAAAAAAAAAAAAAAAAAAATTAATACGAAACACAAAAACGAGAAGAAAATACATGGGATAATAGAAGTGATAGCAAATGAGATTACAGTATTTAGGAATTATTTTTACCCACAACAGTATCTAATATGAATGTACATAATCAGGAATATATAAACATTATCAAAGCATCTCTTAATAAACTCCTAAATCATAAACATATACTTTCTGATTATCTGAATACCTGTAGAAAAGCCACGAAAAAGGATTGATGAGGCAATACATCATGTCGCCATAAAGTACTTACACAGCAACCCAAGTCATCAAAAAGGATTTATGTGGCAACATAGGTATGCACGTAGCACACATGAACTGAGTACGTAGAATTTGCACTTTTGAATTCAATGATCATCTACGGATTAGTATTTCTTTTTGCACTTAGTATATTTGCTTTTATCATAATGAAATGTACTAGAACTGTGGAGCCTACCATCTTTTATTTTTAGCACATTGGATTGTACTGAAAATAAAAAATGGAAATTCCTGAGGTGATTACTATCACGGTATGCAATGCCAACTTTTTGCAATTACGTAATTTATTTATCACTGTGTATATAGGGAGAAATCAGCACAAAAGGCAGTACTGGATGCATTTTTGAAACTGATGTAAAGATACCCAAACAAATGTTTCTCTTCAAAGGTACTAATGAATTCACAAATTCTAAAATAAACCAAGCTCACAAGTTTTGGTGGGGCATGAATAATCAGAAAGTACCTATAAAAACAAATTAAGGGTTACAGTCATTAATTTTTTACTTCTCACTGGCTCCTATTGAAATACAAGAGTATTATAAACAAATGCATTGCTCCTTCCGTTGTGGCTTGCATTTTACTTGTTTTAAATACTGATTTACACAATCAAATCAATTTCTTTCCCTTCAAAATAAACTGCTTAAAAATACAGATAAATTGCTAATAGTAATTTATGTTAATTCTGTACATGGGTTATTTAAAATATTTTTTTTTATTTTTTAACTGTCAACAGATTAACCATGATTTTGGGTTAATTGTAGACATCCTGCCCAGTTTTATCCCGGTTTATCAGGAGTGTGGTGCTGTCTATCTGGAAATTAGCTGCATGGTTTACTAAGTATTTAAACAGCACAATTATATAATATAACTAAACTGCTTCCTCTACAAACTTTCTGCGCATGCGCATATGCGTTTAGGCATGCACATAATATGTTTACACATGCACGTTTAATGTATAACGGATGGTATAAGCTAAGCTAAAATTATCTATTTCAGTTAATCTTGCAGATTGCGTTGTTCCTTAATCTTCTAATTGGATCCGGCTTATTATTTTTTGCAGACTGTTAGAGCAATTTTATAAAAGTAAGCTTGAACTTTCGATTATGTCAAAAAGAATTTCCGATTCTGGAGCTGCCAAAGGATCTACAAAGGGAAAGCATGTTTCGATGTCCATCAAACAAAACTTGGAATTGCTGCAAAAAATGGATAAAGGCATATCCTTTGTTTCTCTAAAAATTCCAAAATCTGTTTATCAATTTCACTCTGCTCTTTGGGGAAGGGGGACGTTGTGGCGCGCAATGCACTGGAAGTTGCTCTGTCAGCACTATCCTTATCTTCAAGGCAGATGTTTTTTTTATTTGGCTTATAATTCCTTACTAAATGTAGTATTTCATCTCGTTGTACTCCGTCTTTGATACGATTTAAATCAAATTCCTCGTCATTATAAATATCATGAATACACATCAAATAGTTTCCTGTTTGCAATTTTCTAATTTCAACTATGCGTAATGTATGCTTATGCATGCGCGAGTTGAAAGAAATGTTTAATAAAGTAAACAAATAAATATTAAGTTTTTGTTTTTGTTTTGTTTTGTTTTGTTTGTTTTGTTTTGTTGTAAATTTTGATACCCTTTAGATCATAATTGCTCTTTATTTCATAAATTATGGTTTCATATTTTTAATTTTATAATTCTGCATGCCATCTTACCAGATTTAAACTGATGATCTAAAATCCGGAAATAATCGATAATCCGGAATCCCTGAAGTTCCGACAAGTCCGGATTACAGACTTTTGACTGTAATAAAGACAAGGGTGTTTTATTCAAATAGACACAGTACTTCGCATATGAAGGTAGCATATGTCTGTTGGACACTTCAATCTCACCATCCCAATACATACAGCAGAGATTAAATAATCCAACTAATACCACCTCAATGAGAATAAAAAGTTAGATGTTTTAAGTAGAAAAATTATGGCTGCAAAGGAGATTTTTCCAAAGTATATAAATCACTTTTAAACCTTAGTGAGTTTAATAATATTACACAAGAGTGAAAAAATAGGTTCATACTTATTTCCTCCTCTGATACCTTATTTATTTCAGCTAAAATGTACAATATTTTTATAAATAAAAATACATATTATTATAATTATACTTTAATATAAATTATTTGTCAATATCAACCCTAAATATGGAATAACAAAAGTATTTTAATACATTTCACTGTTCTGGTCATCTCAAAATATAATCTTGCTCTTTTGCAGGAAAAGCATGCTGGATTTGGCACACGGATGTGGAGCATGCTTTTAGCCCAGGTTCAAAAGTGCTAATCTGTGCTTAGTGTTTATCTTGCTAAAAGGTCAGTGGCTTGATGCTAGGCAATAAAAACTATGGTACTTCAAACTTTCATTAATATAAAACATTAGCATTGCAATTTATCATGAAACTTTATGTAGCCAGACAATGCAGATTGGTAACAATATGCATAATAAACTTTACTCTTTTGAAGCTCCACATCATTATGCTATGCTTTACACCTCAATTCAACTCACCCACTCAGCACACTAGGAAGGACTATGTGGTGATCTCACATGCTGACAGGAAACAGAAGGCATATTTAGTTCCTGAAATCTGACAATACTTTTAATCCAGTCACTAAAATACTCATGAACCAAGAGGTCTGGGATTCGATGCAAACTATAGCATTCGTTGTGCTCGTACAACAATTTATTATAGAAACTTGCATACAGAATTTTTATGTGTAGCCACATTGTTTTACAGCAACCTCACCATAAAGGGGAAAGTCCACATAATGTCTTTCTACTATTCAATTTTTTAAAAAAAACTACTGCATCCATTTTTGTCAAAAATGAATACTTTTCCATTGGTGAGGTTCCATGCCAAGGGTGCGCCCAGAGTAATTATAAAAATAGGAAAACTCATATCTTGAAAAACTAATCTATAGCATACAGGAAAAAAAACTTAAAATAGCACACATTAGAATTATGCACATATTTAACATAGATGAGAATATTTCAGATTCCAAATGCATATAATTCCATATGAACTTTGTTCAAGAACTATGAAAGAACAGTGCCTCTCTGGTGTTTATTATGCTACCTTGCACTATTCTACAGATGCTAAACTGTTTGCGTATAATAGGCAGTTTTTTTTTTTTTTTTTAATTGTGCAAGGTAATTATTTAAACAAAATCTTTTCTTTCTTTCTCTCCCACCCTTTCAGCAATCCCTTTACTTTGAAACAATCTGATTGCAGTGTCTTCATCCTCCGGTTAACATCAAATTAACAAATCGGGTAGAGTAGACTTTAAGGTACCCCTTGTATTATGGCGAAGTTGTTTCATTTATCGCCAAGTTGTTGTTTCATTTATGGTAGCCTGAGTAGTTGAATGTTATGGAAACCCTACTGTGACATAATCGGGTGCATGATTCTGGGAAATTTTGAATCATGGGATGTTTTGTAAGTGTTTTTGTGGTGTGTGTTGGTTTAATTCTTTAGACGGTAGAATGGCCGAATGTAGTAAGATTAATTTGTAATTTGAAGCTTCTGTATGATTTGGAGCGAAAGGGGAAAAGAGCTTTAATTGACTGGTGTGTAAATGAAGGTTTACTTAGTAGCCATTATAAGAGTCCTGTATGTAGGAAGGATATGCGTCTAGTCGAACGTAAAAACCGTTTAGAGGGATTTGAATGGGTTTGTAGGAAGAAATGTTCAGATGGTCATTATGTGAAGCATTCGATCAGAAAGAGTACCTGGTTTGAAAAAAG